GTGCTGGAGCGCAGGGCGCTTTTAAAAACACCTGGTGCTGCAACGCTTACAGTTGCATAAGCGGCGAAATGTGCATCAGTACTGAGAAAATGGCAACAATGCACTTTTGACCTAAAACACATAGAAGGTGCTTTAGTTCAAAAGCATACCGCCACCATTTTCTGCACGCTGACATGCATTTCACCACTTATACAACTGCATATGGCACAGCACAGTTCACATCAGCTCATGTGCAGAGAAGACTTGATTAATTGAATCCGCTCCGAAGTGGCAGATCTCCAGGGCATCGTGGGACAAAAATGTATGTGTATACATGCCCTGAAAGGGGATGCTTAAATGCAGAATTGTTGGGCACACATAGCAAAAGACTGCTAAGATGAGCAGGGGATAGAGAGCCTATCTTATGAAAGCTAACTGAAGGAGCCTGAATTGTTTAGCTCAGCAAAACTGAGGCTGAATGGAAATAAGACTGTTCTCTAGAAATATACTGGATGGGTAAACACCACAGACAGAAAACTGGTATTTTAACTAACAGACAAGGCTGTCACAAAAACAAATGGGTATAAACTATAGACACAAATAATTGAGAAGATTTAAGTTAGAAATTAGAAGGTTTTTTGCTACCAGAGGTGGAAGGTTCTGGACCACATTTATAACAGAAAGAGCAGGAGCAAAAAAGCTGTTTCCTACTGCATTCAACCACCTTAGAGGTCTCTTTCTGTCTTATATCCTACAGAATGTATAGTCTGAGAAACATGTACACACTATTGAATAGTGATCTACTAAACAAAAAGCTTCCATAGCTGCATGACCAAGTATGCAAGTCCTAATATTTTAACCTCGTTGTTCAAATTCCCAAACAATGTACACACATTTAAATAAGTACACTTTGTTCACGAACTTGGGAAATGAAGCTAAAAAAGTATCTATAGATCTGAGCACATTTCCAGAAGGATGTCCAAGGACATCAAGCATTGTGATCAAAGAATGAGAACCCACTTAAAAATAACAGCTATGAGTGGGAGGAAGTAAAAGAATGTGTTGGGATGTGTGGCGGGAGAGGTCGCTGAATAGGAGGACAGACTTCTGAAAGGAATCCAGGGACAGAGAGAATAAGCGTCATCTTTATTTAATACCATATGGTTATAGTATGACTGAGATAAATGGGGCTGTTGCATATTGATACTATGGTCATGTAATAGTTCTGCTTGCCACAGCAAGAAAAAGGAGGAAGTTAAATTAAAAGAAACTGTTAAACTTTACCCACCCACCCAAAAGAAGTGGAATAAGAGGAAGGAGCTGATGTGAGGACTTGGTTCTGGGAAGGAATCCATCTTCAAATCTGTGAGTGGAATAAAAACAGGGACCGACATGTATAAGGGTAAGAAGGAAAAATGTTGCCAGCACTTTAGAAAAAACTAGTATTTCTATTCAGGGTTGCATACCTATCATAGGAGATTAGAAAATAGCATTTGCTTAAGGAAATTTGTTGAGCTGATGGGAATGAAAATGTGTGGTGAACTCAGAATCCAAGCTCCAGGTATCTTTAATTTACCTACAGTGTTTTCCTCAAAAAATTCTAACATGTAGAACTACTAATTTATTCTAAGAAAAAAAGCTGGTGTTTTACATTTTAATTTTCATACTATAATAATCTTTTAGCATCTTAGCTGAGAAGCCTTGTCTGGAACAACTGCATTTATGGTAGCTGGCCTCTGCATAGGATAAAGGAGGTGAGTTCACGATAAAACTAGAAACTTCTATATTATAAAGCTTCCTAAGAAGAGTTGTACTCCCTACAGTGATTTTAATGTAATTTTCCTTGAGATTATGTAAATAGATATATCTAAAACTTCCAAATGTTTCACTACATACCTCTAAAAGAAATTATCTTGCATGGTACAAGTTCTTTTTCATAATCAGAGCACATGGAAAATTGAAGATTCAAATATGCTGCAGTCTGCAACTTTTGTTTTATTATACTGCCTACTTCTATTCTCCTGCATTTTCTTTTTTACAGCACTTTAAGTGTCTAGATAGCTTTTGGATGGAATCCATTGTTCTTTTCTCCCAGGGCACTTTTACATGTGCTCTGGGGGTGGGGGGGCGGGGCTGGGGCATGCTTTAATTAGAGTGGCTCCAAGAAAGCATCACAGCATCTTGTGTATCAGAATCCCTGTGCTTCAAAATGGCAGCAGGGACACTTGAACTAAAGTTTGTTTGACCAGTTTTAATTCAAGTGCCTCTACCACTATTTTGTATTGTGGGGATGCTGATACATGAGATGCAAAGGCATCTCAATTAATCAAATCTACTCCAATGTGCTGTAATTACAGTGCGTCAGAGCAGCCCCCATGCTCGTGTACAGGCAGCCCCAATTTCCAGCTCTGCAGAAAACTTCATCTATTGAAAAAGACTTACTTCCTCTTCATGCTTCTATATGGTAACACTTTAGTAAGTTCTCAGCTGCAATGCTGAGTTGAGATCATTTGACTTTTATCACAATTATAAAAAATGAACTCTCTTTCCAAGGAGTCAAAAGTAGCTTTTAAAAACAATAATCCAAATTTTAGTCGCTTCAGTTATGTAAGTAATTTCACTGTCAAAGCCATGACTTGCATAAGAAAAGTGAAAAGGATTTGTCCAACTCTTTCCATGCCAGTATATTACAGAATAGCTCCTTTCTTGTTCATATTCTATTTGTATCTTGCCAGTAGTTTTTGTATATGTAGGAGGTCACTGGCGTGCCACCTGGAACCAAGTCATCTCCCTATAATGGTAGTGTTTTGTCTTTCGAAAAATCCCTGCCACCCTTTGGTGTTACAGGAGATAGAAGCTGAAACACTCTTGGGGAAACAAAGCATTAGTTAGGGACTTATGGCACTGGCTGGTCTTCACAGGGCTCCACCATCCCCATACCCTGCCCTAACCACTCCAGATGTTTCGGGTGCATTGGTACTGGCCTCTGATGTTGGTACTCCAGTCTCGGTCTTCAGTACCACTGATAGGAATCTCCCTCTTCTTTCAGTTGCTTGCCCCATTCTTCCCTGCACAGGCCTCAAGCCAGCCACCCTTGCTTCCAGTCCCACCCTTACATTCAGAGTCAGGACGGACTCACTCCCCCATGGGGAGTAATCTCGTCGGTGTCTTTGCTTTCTTCAAGGTTCCCAGAGTGGTTAACTCCACCCCCCGGGGCAAGACTCACCAGCTGAGCAGTTCCCTCCGTTCCTGCATTGCCTTTCCCCTGCTGAGCAGTCTCTTCACTGGATCCCTCCAGGTAAATTGAGGAATAGGGGTTTTCCTCTGAGTTCCAGGGTCGGTCCTCTATTCCAGTCTCCCCTGCATTCTCTCCTTTTCTTTTCTTCTCTCCTGCTGCCCCCAAAACGCCCTCTGAGCATCCCTTAAATTTCCCTCTTCCCCAACTGGGTCCACCATGGCAGCCTCCCATTCGCTTCTTGCCTGACCCAGCTGTTTTCTCTCTCCTCCTCTGAAGCAGTTTTTCTTTCTTCTTTTGTCCACGCCATTCTCCTTCTCCCGGGCTCAAGCCCCTGGCAGCTTGGTTTGCCACAGCAGCCTTTGATCTGCTGCAGCCCTAGCTAGTACCTTTAATTCCTCAGAGTGCAGCGTTTCTCCCGCCCAGGCTCGCCATGATTTTCCCTGCCTCTCCGGGTAAGTCATTGTTCCATTGACAGGGTGTTTCAGTCACCCTGTCACAATATACATTCATCCTCTATGCTGGAAGGCATGTGGGGGTTTCTGCATTTGAGTTTTCCAGCCTGTATTTCTCTCCTTCTAATTTCTCTTTTATAGTTTTTAAATATTCCCCATAAATATTTCCTCAATTTTTGCACTATTTTTGCTGTCTTCTTCCAATGGCTTTTACACATGGACTTCATAAAGCATCCGTTTCCCCAGAAAACCTCGCTGTAATCGCAGAAAATTAGGGTTGGAAGGGACCTCAGGAGGTCATCTAGTCCAAGTCTCTGCTTAAAGCAGGACCATCCCCAACTAATGATCAATGTTAATGATAAAGATATTCTGTTTCTACAATGCCTTACATTCTGTTGCATCACAAAGTGCTTCATAAATTTAATGTGCAATATGCAAGCCATACATCAAGATCATTTCTTCCACAACTTACATTTCAGCTACCAGTAGGGTGAAGTAGGCAACTATCTAAAGTGCTTAGTGACACTGCATGCTACTTGGAACAGTGAAATGTGTGTGAAATAATTCAACTGCAGTAGAAATTCCACTAAGCCACATGTAATTACTAACTTGTAATCAGACTGGGACATAACGTTACTATTTCTGCATTTATAAAGGTGCATTTTCATATTAAAAAATCGGACCCATTTCATTTGTCTCATCTGAGGTGGCACCTCCAAACAGTAGTGTAACTAAAGGTGGGCAGGAAGGACATCTGCCCCAAGCATCAAGTTAGTAGAATTGCCCCCAACTTCCGTGAAGTCCCTCCAAAACAGCTCCTGGCTGCTGCTGTTGTAAGAGCACCAGCCAACGTGGGCAGAGCAAGCATGGTGGCAGCAGCAGCTCAGCCAGGACTGCATAGGAATGCCAGCATGAGTAAGGGTGGTGCACCCCCCGCACCCCTTACTCTCCAACAGTGTTTGCCCTGGGTACTAACTCTATTATGCCACTTCCTCCAGCAGGACAGTGAAGTCTTAACCCTTTGTTGGATCACAGCTTCTGTGCTAATTCAAAATAAAGAGTGCTATCTAAGGGCATAACTCAAATCCCAATTACTTTAATTTGGATCACGTCTTAAATGACAAGTATTACTCTTGAGAACACAAAGATGCTTCTTACAAAGCTACCAAAAAACCAATCCAGTTCAACTTTGGTTACCTGGAAAAACATAACAGGTTCCCAGGGCAAAGTGATATGATTAACTAAACATTCAATTATGCATGAGGCTCAATTAAATAAAAGTAATCTTGAGTTGTTGAGCAATCTGTATGATTTGTAAATTCATTACATACCACAACAATCAGGACAATCTGGATGTATCAGAGAGTTCATTCCAAATCCTGGGCGGCAGTGATTAACCCACACAATGTGTAGGGTACCTTCGATGTAGTATATTTCAGGCAATGGATTAGAACGTTTTCCCAGCACTTCCACTTGTTCTTTAAAAAATTTCTCTATAAGATCTTTTGCCTAAATTAAAAAAAAACAGATATTTTCTAAAATCAACCATTCAAAAAATTAAAACAAGCTGTTTTTGATCTCTTTGTTATAGTTTAAGAGGCATGGGTTATAACATACAGGATTTAAGAGATGGGTTATTACTGTTACTGATTATTGCTTTCTAATGGACTACAGCTAGCTAGCCAGTCTAACATTCATGTATTTATTGTTAATTATAAAATGGCATAACTCTATTTATTTAAATTCAAAACAAAGTTTTCCCCCATTCAATGTAGGGGAAAAAGCCTTTCTTCTTGTATTTGAATGAAAGGTAGGAGCAGGCAGCTGCTGTTACTCCAGCCCCAACTTGGGCTTAGGGTCAAAGTCAGAGCCACAGCTTCCCCCCCAGCCTCTGTTCCCCCAACTTGCCTCTTCTGTTAGCTTTGCCCTACCACTTATTATCAGTTGCAGCTTCAGGTCTGGCTGCAGCCTGGGGCATGGAGCACATGGTCACTCTGGCACAGGGCATAAAGGGACATTTCAGGGGAGGGGAGGGTGCAGGAGTGGAGGCACCAGGCAGGACTGGCGTTGGGGGCAAGGAGAAAAGAGGAATGTGTAGGCAGCGGGGTGGCAGGGAGCAAGAGGCAAGGATCAGCCTTTTCGACTCCCCCGCCACCTGCTTCCCTGACACAGTTTTCCCTGCTGCAGCGCTGCACAGAGAAATAATTAGATTCTATACAGAGAAAATTACAATAAATGTATACATTTTCCATGTAGAGAATCTAATTATTGGGGAGTTATCTTAAATATGAAGTTGTCTTGGATTTGGGTAATTACAGTAATATGAATTAACATTTTTTAAAAACATCACAGCTATAATAATTGCATGATAATTTTTCCTTTTCAGAGATCAATTGGGATGCTGTGAGATCCTTTTAAGGATACCACTGGGTAGGAGGAGGGATGATCCCTTGTCCCTGCTCAGCCCCTATGCAAGGTGGTAAATGCTCACTTCTCCCCACCTGGACCCTGGGCAAGGAGGTAAGTGCTCCCATTTCCCTGCCTGGCTCCTGTGCAAGGAGGTAGGAACTTGCTGCTTCCCGTCACCCTACCTGGCCTCTGTGTGACAAGAGAAGCACTGTAATAAATTAGTTTTGAAGTGGGGTTAATAAACTCATTTATATAGATAGAATAATCATACACCAAAACAATATGGACATTGGGGAATAAAGATTTCAAAGCTGAGTGCTCGTTAGTTGGGTAATACCAACTGAAGGTAGCTTTTATAACTTGAATTTGAATGTGTGTATGAATTAGGCCTGTTTTTAAATATGTAAATAAATCTTTTTTTTCCAGATACCTCTACTTTATTCACTATATAGAATGAATGATGCTTAATTAGCAACTATTCAGTGTTTTGTTTGGTTTATATGTATTGTTCAATATGTAATTCTATGCTTTATTTACTATGAATAGTTCAAGTCCTCTTATGAAGACATAATTATTACTTTCTCCAGTCAATTGTCTGTGGCTCTTAGGTACTTTTTTGTTCTTCTAGGCTGGCACAGCAGCAATCCATATGCAAAGAAGCTGTAAGAGGCTGAAGGATTCTCAATGCATGCAGAAACTCAAAGATTTTCAGCTGCTTTATTTTATAGAAAGACCTCTGTTGCGCAGGTACAAAAAGAGATTTTTCAGTGGCCTATCAGCCAGAAAATCTGATCTACATCACCAAGTATATATGTCTAATTGATCCTTCCTGCTGCATACATATCTGTTTAACTTCAGCAGAATGTTCTTGCTATACCTGCAAGAGCCATCCAGTACCCAGACTTTGAGATTATGGGAGTACAGATCTGGGTACAGTGCTGTCCTTGGGTCAGCTGGCTCAGGTGCCAGGTCCTTTGGTCCTGGGTAAGCCAGTTCAGGACCAAAAACAGAGACACTGGTCCCCTCATGGACACTAGGCAGAAAGTACTAGAACCAAACTGAGGCACATGGGGGCCAGTCGGACCATGCAGACCAAGTCCTGTTTCACCCTGTAAAGCACCTGAAAAAATCAGAGGCGTGCTGGGAATGCATGTAAGAGACTTTCTGACCATGGAATCAGGATGTCTGACAGAGAACCATAACTGAGACCTTGATCAATATGATCAGCATTTCTTATTTTCCTCAGTCGCAAAGGTGCACTGCAGAGGCACATTTAATGGCAGATGCACCAGTGTGACAGGGGAGTTGTTTCCCTGCACAGTTTCTCACCACTTTGAGAGAAAACTTGGTGGTGGTATTAACAATCAAGATTGATATAACACCTTTGTCTGCAGAAGAGGAGGGACCTGTAAGCTCTGTTCCACTATCAGCTACAACAATCTGATGCAGAGGTTTGTCACCTTCTGCTTCCAGAGAGTCCTGTGTCTGCAAGACAGTGACATGTGCTTCCTAGTCTAACAGAGAGAAGGCATCCATCACAATTGCTGTAGATTAATGAGAGGGGAGGAGGAAGATTTGGCTGCACATATCTGGACCTTGCTGCCAGGTAAGGGAGCAGGACAGCATGCTGTAGGAAACCATCAGTCTCATGTTCAGAGATTGTCTCCCTAGGAAGCAGAGAGCTTGGATCCAGGTCTGCTTGCCCTCTGAGGTAAAATCTGACATGCACTCTTGAGTTATCCCAGATCCAAACTACAGTGCTTGAATTCAATTTCTCGGAGCTATGGCAGGAGATGTTAGAAGAGGAACAGACATGCTTCGTGTCTTAGAGTACACAAAAGAAAATGAGTTCATGACTGCATAACTGAAGCTCCACCAACCAAATGTGAAATTCCATTTACTGGAAGGGACCTACTTAATTCACAGTTTTGCGGATTTCGCAGAAACTGTGAAATCCAGGATTGTCTGCAAAATCTGCAAAACCAACAACAAAAAAGTCTTATTAAAAATAAAATGCTGGCTCTCCAATGGGAACCAGCGGTCTTTGCTGCCAGGAGGGGAAGGCAGTGGCTGGAGGGATGGCACAAACGGCAGCAGACAAGATGGTGGCTGCCTTGTCATCCCTCCTCCCCACCAATCAGCCCAGAGGGGCAGGGCTGCATGAAGGGTAGCCAGCAACAAATATGGCAGCTGCCCCCTCATCTCTCCTCCAATCAGTGCAGAGGGGCAGGGCTGCCATGAAATCACTGCAGAATTAGAACTTGATGCTGTGATCAACCTGCAAAAATTGGTAAGTTCCCCTGTGAAATAGGTAGACCCCTACATATTGGGTTTAATGCTTTGAAGTATAGCTAAAAGATAAGTCCCAGAGATCTGAAAACAAGAAAAGTTATGCTATTTCAAAATACAGTGATTTTTTTCAGATTTTTGTTTTTCCCATTTACTTTCAACTCTCTTCCTGAAATTCTAAGATGGGCTGAGTATCTCCAGAAATACTATCTAAAAATACACCCATCTCATCTGAATGGAAGATTCAACTCCTGGATGCACAATAATAAAATGGGAAACAGAACAGAAAAGTAAGACATTTTTAGAATGTGTCCTCTAACAAATACATATCTTTTCCCCAAGTATTTCTCAGGCACTTGGTTTGAACAAAAATCTAAAAGGGGGGAGTAGGCAGAGAGGGAGAGAGGAATTGGAGACATTCATCCAGTAAAAATTGGTATAGCTTCATTGCTTAAAGGGCATTAAACAATCTGAATGATTAAGTAGTCTCAATCATGTTTCATTTGTTTGGTTTCTCTGATGTTGATAATCCTACCAGCTCTCTAGCAATCCCCAAAATCTTTCACGAGAAATAGAGGAACTTGAAATTCTGATGCAAACAGCAAAAAACCTTGCATGTTATAATGGGAAAAAGTACATTGACATATTTTTCTTATATATTTTTCATAATGTTCCTTTAACTTAAAGCCAATGCACGTTATATTATATTAGACTCAATGACTCAATCTTAATAAAGCACTTGTCTTCAAGATCAATTTTATCAAAAACCAAAAAATATTTCTGAAAAATAGCTCAATATTATATTGTTCTAAAACGATTACAGCCTCTTATGTCCTTTATCTAAATGAGACATCAAAATCAAATAAAACATATTTAATCTTTTTAGTCTTACTAGGACTTTTTAACTTCATAGTTAACCATGTGTCAGCATCATGGTCATTTTTGAGTGATGGAAAAACATGCTTTATTGCAAAGTAACATGTTAATAGAGCACTTCTTAAAACTCTTTTGATTGTTTTGTTGCTTTTTAAGCTCAATAATTTACTTGTGTAATTTGTCTCATCACCTGAAATCAAAGGGCACTTTTACATGTACTCTGACACATTGTTATTAGAACGATTGAGTCTGCTGAAGCATTCTAGTCAGAACACACCATCATGCTGCAGTGTCTCATGTATTCAGCATCCCTGCATTTCAAAATACCAAAGGAGGGGGGCACTTTAACCAAACCCTGTTGACCAAGCTTTAGTTAAAGTGCCCCCACTGCCAATTTGAAATGCAAGATGCTAAATATACGAGATGCTGTGGGCATTTTAATTAGAGCAGCTACCGAGCACCACAGAACATATGTACAGATGCCCAAAGGTCTCAAAACAGACCTATGGTATGATTCTTTCCTCTCCACTTGGCCAAATTAAATTAAATTAAATAATTTTAGCAGATGATAAAATATCATGCCTAGCCCTATCTGTACATACATTAACATGTTTTGTGTAAGTATATTCATTATTTAGAACAAGTTATTGGTAACATAAAAAATAAATGAATAATTTTTACTTTTTTTTGCCTTATTTATAGTACCTTGTTTAATCTTTTAGTTTTATCACAAGTGTTTTTCTGACAGCGATTCTTTGGTTTGTTTTCTTCGAAGGAAGAAACTGTAACAAAACATGCTTTTATTTAGCAGAATAAAGACAATGAAATCAACATAAAATTTCCCAGAAACATTAACTTCTAGGCTAGGAACAGACATTACACATAAACCAGTTTAAGTGATCAGAAACTGGTTTAAACCTGTAACAGAACAGATGTTCAGTGCACATAAACCAGTTTGAAAGTGGCTGAAACAGGTTTGAGATAAACCTGATTGAATATAGTATCAGACTTAACTGATTTGGCTCAAACCGGTTTGTGCAATGTCTGTCCCAGACCCCTTGCTGGTTTAAATTAAATCAGGCTCCCCCAGCATCCCTACATGCTCTCTGGGCTGGGGGTGGCGGGGGGGGGCTCTCAGGTCCACAGCAGGTCTGGCCCCTCCCCTCTGCTCCCTGGCTGCAGCACCAGCAGTCTCTGCAGGCATCTGCCTGGCTTCTGCTCCCTACCTTCTCTCCCCACTCTCTGCTAAGCAGGCATTCTCCCATCCCCCACAGATAGCTCTCAGCATTAGCTAACAGACCACATGCTTTGTCCGAGCTGTGGCAGACAGGACAAAAGCAGAATCAACAGGTAGCTGGTAATGTTGCTCTGTTGTTTTCTTAATAGACTGATAAACACGAAGTTAGAAGTGATAAACATTCCCTGCAGAGCTGCTCAGCCGGAGGGGGCACCCCTCCCTAATCATAGTGTCCTGCTGGGGCCTGGCCATGCCCCCCTCAGCACAGCTCTGTGCAAGAGAAAGGAGGGCTGCTCTAGCATTCCCCAGCTTCTCGCCTGAGCCACTGAAGGCATGTGCCTGCATTTCTGGGATGTCTGTCTGGTTACAAACTGATTTAACCTAGCCAGGTTAGACTAACCTACAAACATTGAATCAATTCAGGCTCAGGCTTTTTGAATGTTTGTCCCTAGCCCTAGAGATTTTTTTCTGATTTATAAAAATGAAATTTCTGGATGTCCCTGAAAAAAACACTATACAGGAATTACTTTATGTTCAGATATGTGACTTGTAATAATACTTCAAAGGAATCATTAAATCATCAGATTTATCTACTTCTGATTTACTGAGCATGCCTGTGATCTACTGTGATGTGCACATTGTCAAGTATGCTTAAAAACTATTTGAGATATCCATTTCCAAAAAAAGCCCTGTTTGGTTGGTGGTAATATTTATTTTTGCTTCTGATCACTAAGAAACCTGTTATCTTTGAAACATGGCAAATATCCAAGTACCAGCAAACTGCCCATCAAGAATGATGGACAGGCAAGGACACAGGCCTGCATCTGGGCCCCCCTCTGCCCCCGCCTTTGGGGCCCCAGCTGGACTGGGTTGTGGGGCAATCAAAGCCCAGCGGCTCATCCAGAGGCTTGGTGCAGGGGAGCCATGGGGGGGGACATGTCCCCTCCTCCCCAGGTCCTCCCTCATCTGGCCCCGTGTGCCTTCCCCACCTCCCCCTGCTCCACTCCACACTGCCTCTCAGGAAGCAAGGGGAAGCTTGCATGCAGCAGCCATAGCTGCCACCCCATGCTGCCCCAACTCAGTGTCTGACTGCATGCAACCACCCCTCCACCCTGCTCCCCCTCCCTGGGCAGAAGTGGTCAGGGGCCAGGGAGCGGGGCAGGTGACTGGGGACGTGGTGCAGTGGGGCAGGGCGCGCTGTGGCGGGGCCGCAGCGCACAGCCGCTCCCCCCTCTTCCTCCCCACTTTCTCCCTCTCCCTGCTCGCTGTGGTCTGGGGGTACACTGCATCACACCTCCCAACAACAAGCAGTGGGAAATGGAAGGCAGCAGGGAAGGTAGCCACACAGCCATGGTTCACGGCAGGCAGCACCCTGCAGTCAGCACATGCCACACCACACCCCTGACCACCTGGCCCACTCCCTGGCCCCTGACCACTTCCGCCTTCACCTCCTCTTGTCTGTCTGTCCATAAAAGTCCAGGCCAGCCAATCGCCGCCTGCCCTGTGGGCAGTGCATGCGCAGTTGGCCCGGAGCATTATGGACAGAGAGACAGACTAAGGCTCTTATTATATTAGACTTCTATTTCTTACAATACAGATAAGCAACCACTTTCAGAACAATATGCCTATAGCAGTAGTTTATGAAAGAAAGATTTTTAATGACGTCATATTTGGAGCAATGCTCGTAATGTGTGGGTATACAAAAGCTGAAGCAGGGACTTCAAAAGCTTACTTCTGAAAAGGAATATTTGTCTCCCCTATCTTCAAAAACAACAATCCTTAATGCTTCCAATAATCAGTTCTTTTTAATTCACAAGCAATCATCTTACAGTATATATAGCAAGAAGAATTGGTCCAGTTAGCATCATTTTTTAAAATGACTGCATGTATGGATCTACATTCTTGTAAAAGGACTTTTCACACTCATGATTTCTGCAGGTCTGGCCACTACTTATTTTTTCTGTTTTCTCAGGGGTCCTTATGAAATTTAGAAGTGAGTAAAGGAAGGTAAGAAGCATAGTTCAAGCTAGACAGATGTTTTAGCTTTAGTCACCATCTATACTGATCCCATTCTTGGGAGATTAACAAGCAGCAACAGTTTGGTATGGTGAGAAATGAAAAGTATTAATTAAGTCAAGATTAATGGATTCCTCTTCAAAATTAAGATGTTAAATGAAGAACTGTAAATCTGTGAACTGAGCTCTTTGTACCATCTTTACACATCTCTGTAATGGAAACATTTGTGAAATACATATTAAAAGCCTCTTGGAAGATGTAAAATATAAGACCTTGGGGTACTGCAACTCCTGGAAATTCACAACAGGTATGGACTTTTTGATCCAGAAGCAATCTCATCTAAGAGAATTTAAAAAACCTAACTTCTGCTTAAATAGCTAGAAAATAGCTAAAGATATCTATCCTGTGTACGCTGGACTTCTTCAGCAATGTGTACAACTCAGAAGAGAAAAAATGCAAATTGACTGGTTTAGGTAAAACTAAAGTGAAACATTTACAGTTTAATTTAAAAAAACCTTTATGCGGATGTTAGAGAGAGCTACGCCCCACATAAGTCATGTCCACACGAGCATGGACATGCGGTATATGGTGCTGTAGACCCATCTGCAGCACCACACACAACACATGCAGGCATGTGCTGTGCTGCTATCTTGTGGGGACAGGGAGGGGGGGAGTTGACCCTGGGAGATCCTGGGGTCAAAAAAAACACATGCCATAAAAAAGCAGGGTGGCACACATGGCAGCAGTGAGTGCAGCCCCAAACCGGAGCCTGGCCAGCTGGTGCCATGCTCTAGCTGCCAGCCAGGCTACCAGCTGCAGGAGCACTATGGGTGCAGAACCCCAGGTAAGGCTGCTGGGGCTAGCACAGTTGTTGGCCCCAGCCTTCCCTACCCCACCTGGGGTAACCTGCCATGTACCAGAGCGTGCATGGCACAGGTGTTCCCTGGGGACAAGGTGTGCCACTGCAACTTGTCCCCAGGGAAACAAATGGCTGAGTTCATCTGGACACAGCCATAGGGAGCAAACTGCCAAACTCAAATAATTGATTATATCCATTTGGTAAATGTTACATTCTGAGTCCAAAGAAGGTGACAGTTCATAAATAGGAGATAAGGAAATGAAAAAAAATCGCCCTTTCTGAGAGACTGAAAGATAATCCTTTTCCACTTCAAAGCATTACATTTACTTTTTGAGGGCTTCTCACTCTAAAAACAATGTGCTGCATGTGAATGAAGCATTCAAATCCAGCTTGTAAAACAAATCAGCAGTCATGTCAAATGACTCAATAATTTCATTTATGGATGGATAATTTAGTCCTGGTGATGAGAAAGTGAATTTAGGAAACAAAGTAGTGAAAAAAGAAGTCTCGATGCTACAGCCCAGAGACAGAAAATGCCTGGTACCAGAGCCAAACTGGGGCTGTTATTAACAACACGTGTTTTGGCTTGCTTGACTATTCTGATAATTACAGAGGGGGTACTGAAAGAAAGATGAAGAAACTTGTGACCTCAGGATAGCAGAAAATTTACATGTCAGACAACCTGAACCTCTGCCATTCAAAATTTACAACAGGACACGTTCTGTGCTTTCTTTTGTAGCCAACAAATCTGAGAATACAGGGAATTCCTTTATAGTTTTCATGACTCATTTTTGTTACTATAACATGATCTGCTGAGACTGTGGAATTTACTTCTTCGCTGGGACATGAAAATAAAAGGCACACATTGATCATTGTCATAGGATGGTAGAGTTCTTGCTTTGCCTTCCCACTGTGGACCCTGTCGTGGGTAAAGGCAGCTTCTGTTCCAGTGCCTACCATACAGTTTTGGTTCAGATGAGGTGGTGATTTGAGCAAGTATGCTGTTCAGACTGTCCTACATACCATATGGCATGCTTAGAGATGAAGCTCTCAGTCTGTGGTACAGACACTAGCAGTTTGTCTTAATACTTCCTTGTGGGGGCAGGGGGAGTCAGGATTTCTGAAAAAGTTGTCTGAAGAGATTTGGCAACTGCCTGGAGGGGAATTAAGCAAAATTTCCCATCTATTTTTTTTCTAGCATGTAATTGTCTAAAGAATATTAAGGTGGAATTATATTGACAGATGGCAAAACTAGGGAAGATACAAAAATAGATAGTGATTGGAGGTAGTTACTCCATAACATTTCTGCAGCAGCTGTTTAAAGAACTGACTACTGGAGGCACCATGTCATCTCTACAGTTGCTCTGGATATGCAGTGAACCTGCAGAAGCTAAGGATTCAAACTTCAAGCTACAGAAATTCCTGCTTAGCCACATGTGTAGAGTCTGGACCAAGAATTGGAATAGATGTTGTTTTCTCATTTCCTGGTGATAGTTTCTGGTAAAAATCCTTGAATATTTTTCCTGACAAAAACACAGCAATTCAGGGGAAATTATAAAAAATGTAGCAAAATTTGAGCAAAATAATTTTTCCACAAGAAAAAATTCTTCAACCTCAACATATGCTTCAGGGCCCTTTTATTCACATACTGAATTCATACCCTAGTCAATTTAAAAATATGAAGTAGCAGATGCCATTTAATTATTAGGAGATCAAATGGTTTGGTCACAACCTTGAGAAGGTAGCACTGGGGAAAGGAACTATGAATGTGATGCAGAGAATGACTATGCTCAACAGTTCCCTGCCTCGTTCCCAGAAAAGGTATTCACCCCTCTGCTACACGCCTAATGCAAGTTAATTCCTCTGCTGCACTGCACAGAGGGAAACAACAACCAGCAGAGGCTGCTCCATTTGTTATGCTGCCGCTCACAATATGAACGATGAGCAAAAAGGAATAAGGGAACTTCACAAGCCTTGCTTCTCTGCACTGACATGCATCACTATCACTCTAACATCATCAATTAAAAGTATTTACCTACAGCCACAGAAAGTCATAAAGCATTTCTGTGGGATAATACAAAGTATATACTTGGAGTCAGATGTCTGGGATTTTTATAATATACTGGATTTACCACATAAAATAGTCTGATCACTTAATTCCCATCTAGATAGTTCTATACAATTAAAAGTATATACGAGTGAAGATATATCACAAAATAAACTTATCTTCTAACTGAAAAAACTAAACATTCTTTGAAATACAAATAAATTTTACCTGTAAAAGTAAAGAAGATTTCATTTTGCAGACCTGCTTTCTGCATTTTAACATGATGGCACTCTGACTTAACTAAAGTAACCTCACAAGAAAGTTCAGCAACTAGTTTGGTTAGTATTTGAAGCAACTTCTTCTCAAAAGAAACGTTGTAGATACTATTGCAGGGCGCTGAATGATATCGGGCTGTAAACTCGTAGTAAAAGTCGGGATCAGAATAAGCTGCAGGAAAAGAAAATAAGATACTGAACCTTATGCTTAAACAATTTTGTCAGTAAAAAAGTACAAAATTTTTATCTGAAAATGAATTGTTGATGTCAAGTCATCATTCATAAATCAATTTGCACCTTCACAGAATTGTTTCAAGTTAAGGACATGTGTCAGACCAACAGGGAATATTTTTAAATGTTTATTATTCACCTTACCATTTCCTTTTATAGTTATGTAACACTTGCAAGAAAGAGAGAGAGAGACATGTACATGTGTCTTAGTTAGACAAGCTTTCTTCATATACCTGTCTCAGCTTTTCAACTGGTCCAGTAAAAGATATCACCCCAAAAAATCCTTGCCTCTTGCAAGAAACCCAGTAACAGTTTCAGAAAACCCACTTCAATGAGATGCAGTAATTCATCACTAACATTTCTCTTAATTATAAAACAATATTTCAAATCTTCTACCTAAGGATGACAAATGTGTTTTAAAGGGCAAGCATATCAGTTCTCCCCAAAATGGGATCCAAGAGACTACAGTTAGTGAGCACTGGCAAAGCAGCATCTCGCTCTACATCCGAGTCTCTGCTCATCCTCCTAATCAGCTGATACAGGGCAGATAAGGAAAGTCTCTTTTTTGGTACAATATATGCTGACTAAAGGAAAATAGCATAAATGAGCTAACAGGAGTTATGGGGAATCAAAAAGCACAAGAAAATGAAGGACCAGAAGAGAAAAAGGAAAAAGAAGAAATCATATTAAGAAGAGAATGATAAAGTAGAGAGCTAAGGCAGCTAAAACAAACAAAAGAAAACATGAAATTATCCAAAATATTTGACGGTATACTGGTTCCCAATTTAGGTGACTCAACAGAACCTGTGGCACTTGCCCATGATGAACGCTGAACTTCTGTTTATTTCCCCAGACTGTAGAGTTCTGGAACCCCTGTACATTTTATAGAAGTTACATTTTGTTTTATGATAGACCTTCTTGGGGAAGATGAAAGCTGCAGTTGGACTGGAGGATGACATTTAAAAAGTGGAGTTGTTGAGAGAGATGAAATTTTGTCAATTTTTGGATTAGGAAGAATTATGATCCAGAAAAGTTTTCTCTTCTCAAGTTGTGTTCAGCAAATTGGGAAACTACTAAAATTGGAAGTACCCTTTCTAGGTTGGAGGGACTTGAACAAATTCACTGAATTAATGACAAAAATTAACTCTGTCTTGTCTGTTATATTCCAAGTTCCTAAATGCCATTTGCTTATATATGAAATGTAAAGTTAGAGCTAGCTCCTACTAAAGATAAAAGGAGTTTTGCCATAGGTTGAGCTTAAGTATAATCAGACCCTAAAGAAAAGAAAGGGGATCTGATAGTCAAGAGAGAAAATTATATTTGTAGTATTTTTTATTTTAGTAGAGAGGCATTTGCTATAGCATATAACATAATTTGTTCAGAAAAAATACAGCAAGATTAGCATCTTTTAAAGAATTGTTAATATGTTATAATCACACAATACCCACTCAAAATAAGAAGCTATGTTTAACATCATTGTAAACACAAAATGTATAGTCTTAAATTAGCATAAATTGTACTAATGTGACTTTCACAAGGTAAAAATGAATCTCCTAAGGCAGGGGTTCTCAATCCCTGGGCTGCAGCAGATTGGCTGCTGGTCCACAGCACAGCCAGCTGCCAGACCAGAAGTGTCCGCGGACTGCAAACCGTGATCCCCCACAGCTAGGCAGAGAGGCTGTGGCTCCTTCTGCAGTGCCCACGACGGCAGCACAGGGTTTGGTTCACCCCTCCCCCTCCCACCCGGGAATGGGGGTATCCTTACCTGTCCTCTGGCCAGAAATTCTGGCCACAGTTGGCTGTGACTGCTGGGCCTCGGTTTGCCGGGCCGCAGTCACTTCTGGGCCGCAGTTTGCCGGGCCGTGGCATAAAAACGTTGGGAACCCCTGTCCTAAGAAATACCAGTATTTTACTAAGGGTATTTCCCAAGCTTCTCAGCTTTGCTGGTTGCTGCATGGGGTTGGGAGGGAATTTTCTCCTCTTCCTGCTGTTACAGGTATTGAGTGTTTTTTTGAGCCTCTCTCAGAGGTACTGGGTGTTGGCTATAGCCGAGGCTGGGAATTTTGACGGGGGTACGCCAGTGTTCTGGCTGGGACTTAAACACAGAGGTTCCTGGCTAGCGGATTTTGCCTCTCTGCTCAGAGTGAGATAGATGGTCATATCCGAGGTCAGGAAGGAATTTTACCCCTTGGTCAGATTGGTAAGGACTGTGGGGAATTTTGCCTTCTCTGTAGCAGGGGGCACAGTCCTCTTCTTGGGATCTCTTCAGCATATATTGAAAACCTTCACAGCAACAGAACTTTGGCCACCAGGATCCCCCTGCTTTAGTTATGACAGATTAGGGTGTTGTGTCTTGTGTTGGGTCAGACTTCACTATAGTTTTGCTAAGAAGTTAGACAGGGGATTTGTATAGGATGGTTTAGAATAATCCTGAATTAATGATGGAAATTAGGCAGGGGTCTAAATAACTTATGGAGGTCCCTTCCAGCCCTACTTATTTATGATTCTATGATATTTCGATATGAAACAAAACTATTTTGCATGGTGTTTAAGGTGTCCATCTACCCAATTTTTCAGATTTCTATTTTCCAATTACGTTCTGTGTCTCCTTTTACAAAACAGGGCTATACTTAAAATTTCTAAGTCAAAAAGCAAGAACTTTTTCTATGACTCCATAAATTACATTCAGTGAATTCCTTGATAGCTGTCTCTTATTAAACACAATTTGTTAAAAGACACTAAATGCCCTCAACTCCCAATTAAACTAATGAATTGATATGTTTTCAAAATATTGACATACAATTCAAAAACAAAAAAAGAAAGAACATTTACAACATAAAAATGCACTGATCTGTTCTGACATCTTACCATAAATCACATATTTGATTAAGTAGTTTTTTTCACTCTGCTCTGCAGTTGGTTTATATACAATCGAACAGGTATAAACTCCACTCATGTCGTATTTGAAATGTCTGAATATTAGGGTTCCTGTTGGTGTTATTTTCACACTGCTATTTTCTAGTAAATAAAACAAGTAAAATAAGTTTAGTTTCCATTATAACATGAGACTATCAGATGAATAAATATGAATGACAATGTTTAATGTACACACAATTATACTGTTATAGCCTTAATAAAGACAGGTAACTTGTTAACTGTAGTACATGAGTGCACTGTTCCTGGACATTTACCATTTGGGTGATATACGCCCTGGTGTTTCTGAGCTTTGAGAACCCCCTCTCCCCTAATACACCACCAAACATTCAGTTATAAAAGTATAAAAGTATTTTGCAACTTCAACCAGCAATGTTCTTTCTAGAAATTTATAGCTTCCAGTTGTAGCAGATTCCCAGCAGGAGTGGAAAGTCTGATTATGCAGAGGCAATATATTAAAAAAAACAGCTATCGTTACTAGTAAGAAGTAACTTTTCTTTCTTTAAGAATTATCTCTGCATATTGCTGGAACTTAACCAGCAGCAAACTCTGAAGTAGACAGTAAAGACTACCAGACCACCTTCCCAAGATAAACCTCACATACAGCAGCAGTCCGACAGATTTACAGGACAGAAATACTACAAAGACATGAGGCAGTGGATTGAGCCCCAGAAGCCTCAGATATTGACAGCCCAGAATAAGTTATAACAGGTTTTAACGCATATTCTAATCCACTTTGATAAAACCTGTGTGGGGAAGTGTTTTCCATCTCCATTGCCAGCAGGCACAAAATGTCTAGTGGTTTTACCAAGTATCTTACTCATATCAAAATAAAAACTCAGAGCCTTTTTGACATGCAAGGTATGAAATCCATTTTTTTTGTATCAGTGGGTCTTTGAGAAAAATACTGAGAAACGGATGACGTAATTCAGATTAATTAGATCATGTATCACTTCTGATATACATCTAGCATAATGTTACAGATAAACTTTGTTCTTCTGAAGTACAGCAAACAGAAGGTCAGCAATTTACAAATGATCTACAATTTGCATAAGACAGGCAGAGGCATAAGAACTATGAACCATATACATCCTCAGCCCAATTGTTCTCTGTTGTTCTGGCAGTCAGTAGCGTAATTAGGGCTGGGTGAAAGGGGTACCTGCCCTGGGTCTCAAGTTAGGAGGGGTGCCTGAATCACTACCCACTCCCATGAAGTCCACACCCCAACAGCAGTTAGTTCCAGGCCAGTAACTCTGAAACAGTCCCCAGCTACTGCTACTTTTAAGAATCACTGCCAGGGTAAGCAGAGCATACCGGATGCAGCAGCTCCACCAGAACTACTTAGAAGTTGCCAGTGTGGGTAAGAATGCCCCTCTCTGCCCCTGTTCTTGGAGCCTCTAACCTCTCTCCCCCAGTTTCCGCTCTCCGAACCTATACACTCTTCCCCATCTCTAGGAATTTCATGCTGCCCCTTCCTTCTGGGTGGGTTTGTCCCCGGCTTGTAACTCTGCTTGTTACACCCCTGCTGGCAGTGCAAAGGAATCAGAAAGGTTCCATATACTTCTACTGAATTAAATATTTACAGCACAGATAGGCAGCATAAAACATGTTGTGTTAATTTATTCCAAACTGCCTATCTTAAATTTGAAAAAGTGTACCCTTGTGAAAAGGCAAAAAAACAGGGGAAAGATAAAAAAAAAAAAAAAAACAAAAAAAAAAAAAAAAACAAAAAAAAAAAAAAAAAGAACATATAGAAAACTTGAATTATATCCTTAAGTCTTTTTCAGGATAAATTATACTAGCCTTTTCAACTGCTCACCATTTTAAATCCTGCCATATCCAGCCATTTCTGCCACTCTACTGAGGCTGCACTAAAACTTTTGCATAAGGCAACCAAAACTGAACACCTCAAAAGACAATCTATCACCCTCTAAGCTACACTACACTGCATTCTTGGTGTCCAGATTCAACTTGGCCCTCATATCATTAGACAGTAAAGAGAGAATACAGCAAGTTTTGTGCCAAGTAAGGACTGGCAGCAATTGATAGGCTTGTGCTCTGGAGTCCACAAAGATTGTTTCTTTTCTATACCTCACAGATGTACAAGAAGGAAATACAGAACTATGGCCACGCCAGACCCGCAACAGGACCTTATCAGGCAGGAAAGCAGAGAAGATCCCATGAACGACAAGAAATTCTCTATGACAATGCCACAAGACTCATTAGCCAGGTGAAAAGGGCTGAAGAGGAAGAGCTAGGTCTGTCTCTAGGTGAGCTTACAATGCAGCACCTTGTAGATCGTATTCCCCCAGCCGTTAAAAAACTGTGAAGCATTATTCTTCTTTCATTCACAGGACTTTCCAGGGTCTGACTTGGCATTGCCCTAAATATGTGTCAGCTCCTTAAAAGTTTAACTTGAACACCATAAACAAAAAAGGCTTTGGAATTACAGTGGGTATTAGTGAAACATCTATACGGGTATGTAACCCCTTTTGTGTCATTTTATTTAGTTCATTTAATTTTTGTATAACTCTGTTCCACCAGCACTACAATATTTTTTTTATTTTCCTTTCTGAACCCCTCCCATCAGTCTAATTGCAGTAAGATGATGCACAGAACTGATGGTCTGCAGTTACAGCAAAGCTGTAGAAAGGAAGGACTGTTACATTTCAGAGACAAGATGCCTTAAAAAAGCCTCCTAATTTTCTTTTGATTGTATTAACAGTGTTAATATCAGTACATTAAAAACTTGCTATCCAGTTTCTTCCCCAAATTATCAACCAAATACTAAAGAATGCTCGTCCTAATACTAACTTTGGGATATTCTGGAGAATGTTCTATTTTTCTTTTTTACTGTGAGAAAAAGCCATTTATTTTTGTTCTAGTTCCCAACAATAAGCTATTCTCAATAGGACATGCCCTTTCTCAAAGATTATTTTTTCTTAATAATCCCTCTTGAAGGATTTTATCAAATCTTTTAAGTAAATGATTACCTGCTACCCCTAGTGTTTCAGATGCATTGCTATAAAACATTACAGATAAAATTAATAGTGACTGGATCCTCATATGGCTCAGAAGCAGAGTAACCCAGGGGATCAAATGAAATAATTATTTCATACATAAACATACAGAAGAAAAAAAAATCTAAAAAATATGTATAAATTACATTCCAGTTTACAGCTCAAAAAACTTAGGGATAAAATACCATGAAAAGGAATAGCTCAAAACCATACAGAACCATTGGGACCAAAGAATACCAAACAGGCCAGCTTAAAGGGGAGTTTGCTTGGGAAGGTCTGCTTTCAGAGAGGGGTGGGAGAGAGACATTGGATTAAGAGACCTAGAGAAATGGCTGGAGGGCACTGCAATGCCAGATCCACTGTCACTGTCACTGCCATAGCCAGCTCTTCCTCTGCTTGCACCTGTGAGGTGTCTGTCCAGGCAGGACTGCTCACCCTGAAGGCTTCCACTCACGTCCTGGTTTGGCACTGGAGACTGCAGCTTGCATGTTATTTCCAGTGATAGCCAGGTGGGGAAGTGCCTGCGATGTGAGCAGTGGCTCCCGGTGGTGTCCCTCAGGGACCCAGCAAGATAATTATAGAAGGAGATGGTGAGGCTCCAAAGCTTTCTCTGCCATGAGGACTTCATCAGTTTGATGCCTGATGAGATCTCTAGGACTGCAGAGGAAGGACTGCCAGACGCAGTGCTAGAGAAGGAAGAGTACATGGGCTCCCACTAAAGGGGGAAGCTGGAAGCTTGGGGTCTTTGGCAGCAAGCAGAACTCTTCAACTCTTGGAGAGAAGGTTCCACTGCTGTGCACGAATCCTCTAGCCACAATGACACACAGGAGGGCATTCAAACAATGGAGGTCCAGATAAGTACTAACATCTTGAGACACAGGTGGCATGACAGAAAACCTGAGGCAACCAAGGGGGAACTCAGGTGTACTTATGAGAATGCCAGAAGCACGGGAAACAAACAGGAGGAACTGGCACTCCTTCTGGTTGACAAGGAATTTGGTCTGATTGGGTTGACAGAGGCCTGGGTGGATGACACACATGAATATTGAGGGCTACACGCTTTAGAGGAAGGATCATGTTGGGAAGAAGGAGGTGTGGCCCTCTATGTCAAAGAGTGGTACTCCTCCCTGCAGGTCATGTTTGAGAGCAGGGAAGGGTCCCTTGAGACCCTCTGGGTCAGGATACAAGGGGGATCAGAAGAGGGAGACCTGATGGTGGGAGTCTACTACAGGCATCCCTCCCAAGAGGAGGAGTGCAATCAGGCATTCTCTGGAGAGCTGATTGAGGCAGCTCGCACTAAAGACATGATCATCATGGGTGACTTCAAGTAACCTGACATGTGTTGGGAGGACCACTCGGCCACCTCCAGCAGGTCAGCCAACTTCTTGGCAGCAACAGGCGATCTGTTTCTGACAGGTTGTTGAAGGGCCTACTAGGGGTAAGACCACACTGGATTTGGTGCTGACCAAGGGGGAGGACATCACAGGTGACCTGAGAATTGGTGGTACTCCGGGCAACAGCAATCATGACCTGATAAGGTTTGCCATCCACCATAAGACTGGGAAATCAGTCAGCAGAGCAGAAGTCCTAGATTTCAGGAAGGCAGATTTTGGCAGGCTCAAAAGGCCAGTTGGAGAGGCCCTCTACAACCAGCAGCTGGAAGATTTGGGAGTCCAGGAACGATAGTGCTTCTTTAAAGAGGCATTCTCACAGCTTAAAAACAGGCCATCCCCATGCAGACAAAAAGCAGGAAAGGAGCCAACAGGTATATTAGAGAGCTGTTGGAAAAGAAAGAAGCATATAAGCAATGGAAGAACGGATCAGCTGCCAGGGCCTGCAGATACGAGACACAGAAAGCTAAGGCAGGCATAGAAATCAAGCTGGCAACCAGCATAAAAGACAACAAAAAGTCTACAGATACATAGGGAGCAAAAAAACATCAGGATCCGCTGTGGGATCCATACTGAATGCTCAGAGGCAGCCCACAGGCGATGCCCGCAAAAAAGCAGAACTCCTAAATACATACTTCACATTGATATTCCTGAAATCAAATGGGAGCTGTAA